GACAACTTCATCGTCAGACTGTATTGTAAAAAGACTTTCCTATAAATGTAGATGTAGGTTGGAGAGCGTGGTTTAATAAACAGCCTGACACTAACAAAATATGAAAAAAGCATTTAATATTTCTGAAAATACTTTAATACACAAGTTGCACATTCCAGATCAAGCACTCACATTTTGGAATGTCCTCCCATTAGAGAACTACAGATTAAAAATTTCCATGAGACTGAGACCTCAGATTACTTACTGAATTTTAATCTGTCAACACACAGCACTACTTTATTATCAGTACAATTCTTAGCTATTGCAGCAAACCAATAACTAGATAGTTCCTGTTACCACTGCTCACAAAATTAACTAGGCCTAACTTTTTTTTTCTCTTTCAAATAAGTCACAGTACAAAAAATACATGTAAAAGTTAACAGTTACAGCAAAATTAACACAATGTATACACTTATTTTACAGGGATAGATGTAAAAAAGGGTTAAATGCTTGCAGAAAAATCATTGCAAGTTTTCCTACAAACATGCTCTGCATGTTGCAAAATTTTTAACCAAAAAAGTCAACTATTGCATTACAGTAGTGCAAGTTCTAGTCTATGGTCAATGTATTACCATCAGAACACTGATGAATGCACACATTTAATACTTTATGGAGTATAGACATGCAGAGTTGGCAGTGCAAGGGACTGATCCTGCAGTCCTTGCTCATGTGAACAGCCTCACCGGTTTCAGTCGAGGCTGCTCATAGGAGCACCTTGGGGGTACTACTTCAGCTTGATTTATCAAAACAAGACATACAATCCTGTTACTTATACTTTCCCTTTTAATTGACTTAATTCCCAAACTTACCATTTGATTATGTTTTATCACTGCTGCCTCTTTCCTGAAATTTTACAGTGAACATTACATTTTATTTTGGAGATCAGAGCTTGGAGTTTTTTGTTTTCTTGTTTAAGCTGGACAGAGCATTGTGCTCCTTAATGAAAAAGAAAAACAGTGTCCTTTTGCTAATATGGTACTCCCAACTACTTTGAGATTTTAATTGTTCTGAATGGTAAGGGGTAACATTTACATCAAATATAAATCTACATTCAAGAGGTGACAGTTCCAAAAATTGAACACATCAAAGGTTTGATTTTCCATACAATGCTTACACAAGCAGATTTAAGGGTTTGGAATCTAAATTCTGCAAAATGCAATTAGTTTGCAGACCTCTGGTTAGGATTTAAATTTCTTGGATAAAGGATTCTAAATGAAGTATTGTTCCAGAGAATCATGTGAAAAAATGTGTAATGTTTCTTAAAATTTACACTGCAGTGATTTTAGGGATTAGGAAAGTGTGAAGTTTTGTGTGTTCTTATTTCCTCCTGGAAATTAAGCAGACATCAAAAATTAATTCACATCACACATGCAGAAAAACAAGTATCCAGCCCTTTTCTCATACAGACTTCTTCCAAATACTATAGACAAGAATGGAAGGCAATTTAGAAAAATATATATCTGATAAAGTACAGTATGTTTCTTATGAGGGTTTATAGCATAACAGGAGTCTTACTAAAAATCAGTAATAAATATTCTTCTGCCAGTCACCTAAGCAGTAAATCAAATGTACTCCTGGTAGGTATGTCCAGCAGAGATATTTTGTCCCCTTAATATAGCAACTATTCTAGGAAAGGAGTGCAAGGAGGAGAGAACAGAAACAAACCTCAATTAAGGTTTATATTATGTTGAAATCTATTTGCAAGACTGAGTAATATTTATAAACTAGACATCCCTCTGAGATGGTCATCAGTAAATACCTGAAGCCATTCAATGAGAATTAACACCATAAGGAATCCATAGTGTGACAATTCTAATAGAAAATGACCTTTTACAAGGTAATGTTGATAATTAGATGGATTGGAAGATGGAAACTTGACCCAGGGCCTTTTTAAACACTAACACTGTGGCTACTCTTATGTAAAAAATAAAAAAATTAGAATATGGCAACATGTCTTTAAAAGGAAATGGTTTTTGAAAAATTGCACAGTACATTCACCTTCAAGGAAGAATCTGCACTTCTAGGTTAATGATGGCTTCAGGAAAACCCAACAAATTTGGGCTTGGTCTGATAAAATTTGCAAAGAAACAATCATTCGATTCTTTAATCACATTGCACATAGCATACAATTCCAGATTATAAAATCAGCAATCATTACACGTCATTAGATTAGCTGTGCACTCTTTTGTCAGAGTGTGGAAATCCACTTATCAACATGTGCACTTAATACATCACAAGATAGCTTTGATAAAAATGAAATGAATATCCTTAACAAGGACAGAACCCTGTCCTTACAGTTTTTTCTTGCATCATTGTGGCACATAAAAACTCTTGAGTGGACCAATTTTGGGAGAGAAGTTAGAAAACACAGCTTTTCCCATTACACTATGCAATATACTTTCCATGCGGGATAGACCACAAGCATTGTTTTAATTACCTGAAATAAAATATTTATCACATTTCAGTTCCCAGTCTAAGCAACTGTGGGTAGGATTTTCAAAAGTGATCAGCCTTTGCCCAATTTACCATCAACTTTAGCATGAGCAGAGGTAGGCCAACATCAAGTGCTTTTGAAGATTCCACCATGTGTGGTTAAACCTAATTCCTCTTAGTACAAAATTCAATTGCATTAAACGGTGACTGATTTATGGTGCTGTCTCCTCAATTGGATTTAAATCAACTACAAAGAAAGTACAAGAACATAAAAAACGATTATAATATTTTTTTGTAAGAAAACAAGAGAGGCAATATATGAAAGGGTATAAAATATACTTTAACTTCTAAAATAAACAGACCATACAAACTAATCTTTCCCAAAACTATACTCAAATAGCAATTGGAGGACTTATTTTTCACCCCTCTATCCAATAAGAATTCTGTTTCAAAAAGGAGATATTTCTTAAATATACACAATTTTAACATTTTCTTTAGTCTTTGATTGCAACATAGTCTTAATCTTGAAAATTATTTTCTACTGATTGTCTTTTATCCCCACCACATATATTGTGCAGTTTTCCCCCCCTGAATTCCTATGCAGCAGGAGCCAACATCGCTACTTAATTATTTGCTACTTTGATTTTATACAAGCTTCGGTGATGTCAGCAGGAATATGCATAGCAATGCAAATATTGCTTGTTGGTTAATTGCTGCTGAAAAACCAGCAAAGGCAGAACAATTTATTTATTTATGTATTTCTTTTGCACAGAGGCCCTACAAAAATAATGAAAAAATGCTCCAATTAACTGCCTTCTTTAAATTAGAGAGACTCTGGAGCACATTATATCCCTACTCAATTATAAATATGTCAAGGAAGGCTGGGCCCAAAGTAACCCAATAGTGCTTTTAACTTTAATTTCTTTGCTTTTGTTTAGTGTCAGACCCAAAAGAATGCGACTGGATCAGATGCAGTTCTGTAACTTTACTGACATGGTACTGGGTTCATAGTTGCTTCATGTCCAATCCAATGACAAAGAATCTATTATGGATCTTTCATTATTATCACAACCCCTCCTAAGAAGGAGTTTTTTTCACACCCTTTAATGGGCTTGTGTGGCATTCTTACTCATTCTGCATTAAGAGTACTACATGCAAAATGTGTATTAAAAATATTATGAAAAATAGTTCACAGCAGCTCCAGCTACTGTTCTTAAAAAAAAACAAAAACAAAAAACAAAAAAAAACACCACTGCAGTTTTAGTTTTATTCACCCACAGGTCAGTCCACATTGTTTACTAACATCCTCCCCCATCTCCTCCCCCGCCCCTTAAAACAAGTAACTATTTGTTCTTTCTTTAATTTTCTGGATATCACTAACCTGAATTCAGGCAAGTTTTAACAACAATGCACATGTTCAGAAGGTGGGGTGGGGGAAGAAGAGATTTGCCCGACAGACCTGTAACAATGGCAGTGCTATCAGGCATCAATGTAATAGTCAACTCAATATTGGGATTTGACCAAATCCAATACTAAAATAGTAAGTTATACTGTTCTCATGACATAATAGTAGCATTACAGTAGTGTGGTGGCACTTTTAAGAGTGCAGTGATTTGCTGACCCTCCACCTATTCATGCTGAGTGGGTTATGCTTTTAGGCTACAGAAACCAAGATGACTCATCACTGCTCACTATGCTAAAACTATTGTCAGTCCCTAACAAACAGCTCTGCTCTTCTATTCAATTTTTAATGAGAGGCAGTGGTTACTAAACATAATTAGGAACCAGGCGTTCCCAGGTGCAAATGCAGTCAGTGTGAATTCTAGGGAATCACTCACTCTCTGTGAATCCATTAACCAGCAATTAAACTGGACGAGGACAGGATTTTCCTCAAAAATTAGCTGCTGCATGCAAAGTTGGGTTTTCCACAGTAGGCAAGATAAAAATAAGGTAGCACTCAAAGACAAATTGCGACATGGAAGCAGGAAACAGAAAAAGGAAGATTACAAAAACTCACATTGAATGATTAGCATTTTTGTAAAAAAAAAAAAAGACTTTCTATGAAAATAATATTTCTCCCAAAGAGATGGCTCCCAAATGCAGATGGCTGCCCCACAGAAGAAATGAATTTTGTTATACTGATCAACAGTACATGACAGCAGTTCAGGCAGAGTGGAGGCTCAATGAAACTATTTCACTTTGTGATTACAAAATCTCTCTGTCCCACACACATCCATTTCCTTAGGCTTTTTAATTACTGTATTAGAAATATAATTACACTGTAGTGACAGACAGCTTTGCAGAGTTCTACTAGCTTCAAAAGACATTTCATATATTTGAAGCTTCTCCCTGCCCCCAACCAAAAAAAGCCTCTTTACAGACAGTCATATGTTTGCAATGGGCCAACCAAGTTTATAAATTAAAAATGTATATGCAACGCAGAAGGTATTCCCTTGGCTGTCAACACACAAAAAGGATACACAAGCAATGAAATAGTTAAAACACAGCACACTGTATTACACATAAAATGTTTCTCATTTCAAGTTTATTAAAACTTTAGCAGTACAAATGATCCAGGTTTTAGATTATCAAAAGACCAAACTGAAGTCCACATTAAAAAAAAGGTGTTCCCCAAAATGTCCCAAACTTTGAGACAGAATGGAAACAATAAGTCCATAGCTCATCCACGTCTGTCTTCATCTGTTCCAGGACTTGATTCGTGATCAGACTTTTTATCCTTACGATGGGCATGGTCTCTTTCCTGACTCTTTGATTTTTGGTTAATTTCTTTTTCTAGTGAGGCTCTATTCTTCTCTTTTTCCCTACTCCTGTGTGTAGATGATTTTTTTAATTCTCTATCCTTACTGCTTTGTCTTCTCTTTGAGTCTGGACTTTTATCCTGATGATCTCTACTAGCCTTTTTATCTTTATTGGTCTCAGGGCTACTACTTTCACGGCTTTTTGAACGCTTCTTCCTTTGGCTTTCAGAGTCATTTTTCTTATGTGAACTTCTACTTTCTCGGTTAGGATACTTCTCTTTGTTTCTGCTTTGACTTTCTTCTCTTTCACGGCTCCTTGAGTCTCTCCTCCTCCTATTCTCTTTTCCTTTAGATTTTTCTGGTGTGCCTTTTCTCTCTCTACTTCTTGATCTTCCTTTTCTTTTTGCTTCTTTATCTTCATTTTTTGAACGCTCTTTACTTCTACTCCGGTCTCTGTCTTTACTTCTAGATCTGCCTCTCTTCCCTTTGTCTCTGCTTCTGCTTCGTTCTCTTGCTTTACTATTGGAACTATGTTTTCCTTTAGCCTGCTCACGTTCTTTGCTCCTCGATTTTGCATGTTTCTCCCTGTCTTTGCTTTTACTGTGATCTTGTTCATTACTTTTTGATCCTGCACTTTTACACCTCTCCTTACTTCTGCTCCTTTCTTTATCTCTCCCTCTAGAATCATGGTGCTTGTCTTTACCTCTCTCATGATCCCTCTCTTTGCTTCTTGATCTCACTCTCTTTTCTTCATGTCTGTTGTACTTAGTGTCTCTTTCTCTGCTCTTTGATTTCTCTTTGCTTTTGCTCCGGCTTTTAGATTTAGCTCTTTTCTTGGCCTTGCTTTTATTATGCTTATCGTCTTTTTCTGAATTCCTCCTTGTCTCCCTGTCTTTACTACTGGATTTGTGGTCTTTTGTCTTCTTCTCCTTTTCCCCTCTTCTGTTTGGGCTCTCAGAGACTTGTCTGTGGTCTGATGCTTTTCTCTCCTTTCCTCTCCCAGGGCTTTTTTGAGCATCTTTCTTGTTTTCATTTACTTCACCCCTTGGAGAAAGAAAAATATTTATTTTTAAATCTTTTGAACAAAAATAACTTCACTACTGAAACTGTTAATCATTGCATGAAGTTTAATTTGTATTATGACATCTACATTAATGGCTACACAGTTACCATAACCATAAAGAGGGGTGCTTTAAAAGGGATAGAGCAAAGATAGCAACGAGATAACTACGCCAAAATCACATATTCTGGGAATAAAAAAAATTCACTGTGATACAACAGATGAGAAAATAGGCACCACTGTATTCTAGACAGAAATTCCAATGTATATAGGAAAAAACGGTGTCTTACTTATCTCCCTTTATCCATCTTTCTCCACTGGAAACTCTCATTCTTTGAGCTCTTTGCATTTCCTGCCTCCAATGTGGAGGAGTCTCACTGCGTCTGAAGCGATCCCTTGACCTGGATCTGGAAGGCGTCCGATAGCGCTTGAGAAGGCAAAAAAAGAAAGACTGTTAGATATAACAGAGTTTAACATTCCACAGTAGGCAAGATGTGTCATACATCTGGGGTGAGATTCTGAGTTGCACCTACCAGAAATGCAGCACAGAACTCAGCCCCGCAGAAAAAGACGCAACAGTGGATTTATGTCATCTTTACGTCACCTACATTCTGGACTGCTCTGGAGGCCAGACTGGTTGCTAGCATAAATCAATTCTGAGAGCTGGTATAATTTACAACATTCCTCCCACAGTCTGCCAATGGACTGCTCCACAACTTACAGTAACTGACAATTCGCATAGCTGACTCAGGCTACAGGATTCTCCTATATCTGACATGCCCCTCCCATCCCCACTACTAGGGTTTAAGGTGGGGGGAATCCTCAGAAGATAGTCTGCAGCTGTCTTCCTCAGTTACTCTCCCTTGACTGGATCCAGGGCTTTTAGAGCCACTTTACGTTGCTCCGGTCCCATTACCAGCAAGTAGGGGAGAATCTCACCTCTGGACTGCAGTCAAACTTCATAGTAAAAGCACTGAAACTAAAGGTTAACACCTGTATAACATTATCTGAAAAAAACAGTTAGTGAAGAAATATAAAAACTTGCAAAGCGGTCTCAACCACATTTTTTTGTTGCATTGTGCTATTGAATTCTGATGTGCAAAGTATCTTGGTTCAAATCTACCACCCTTTGTAAACTAGAATATTTCCCTCCTGAAAATCAATTCAGCCTTCCAGCACTTTATTAAGGTCTTTCACGAACATAAAAGGTTAAAGAACCATTTCATTTTAAATCCCCATTTTCACTCACTAATAGCTTCCTCAAAATATATGTATTTTCCCCCCATATATTTCTTGTGCTTACTCTCTGGGCCAAGAAGCAGCTTTCTTTGCAAGTTTGAGCAAAATGCTTTTTTGGAGTTGAGAGTGCAGGGGGTGGAGAGAGGAAGGGAGGGGTTTTGGGGGCATTTTTTAGTAAAAATGTCTAATTTGGTTTACTGCATTCAAGTAACTCAAAGTTGGCTTTATTTTCAAATATATACTCAGCATAGAGAGAGTTCTGGAAGGAATGCAATCTGAGCCATATTTGGAAACAAACGAACACACAAGCACTTGAAAATTATGTACTGAATGACTAGGGCTCCTAGGCACTATAGAAATACAAAAATAGTGCACTTACATTTTATATTCAGTTAAAATAGATATCCCAAATGGTTGATCAAATATCCACACTGCAGTCTCAGAAATTCCAAAAGACCTTAAATAAGTTTTATGTAAGAGCCAGGTATTATAATTCTTTGAAAGAGAATTGTTGGGCTTGAACCTGAAAATCTTTTAGATATTAAATCAAGTTTAAAGAACTTTTTTCATCAGGATGAATACTGCTCACCCTTGTCCTGCAATGAAAACTCCCCGTAACATTTTGCAAAGCATCACTAGAGCAATAGTTTACAAAAATTTTACCATTAGCTTTAAAATTTAAGGGTTATTGCAAATGTTCATCATTGTAGGCCAGGCCTGACATGAGTAACTGGACATGGGTGAGGCCTCATTTCTTGAAAGACAGAATTAGGGAGGTGAGTGGATCAGCAGGCTGGAAACAGAATGTTTGTACTAGCTAAGATAGGTAAATGGGTCAGTAGGCTAAGAGATAGAATGTTTGTACTAGCAAAGATAAAGGGCAACACTCAGGAAACCATTTACAATGGCCAAGATAAACCTGGAACATAAGATGAGGTAAAGAGTAAGTCATGCATGAGCAGAGCATGCTGTACAGGAATTGGTTCCTACAAAGTGACTAAACCAATCCCAAAACGCATGGATGCAACATATAGAAAACACAATGTAATGTGTGAATGTACATAAAAGAAGAAGTTTGCTCTGAACTTTGGATGTGTGGTATGCCCTGTACCCATCCCCTACACTTGAGCCTGATCAATTCAAGTGTAGTTTGATTGTATGCCAATAAAGAAACCTCAGTGAAGAGTTCAGAGTCGAGCTGAGTTTGTGGGACCCAAGTGGATAGGGTCTCGGGGGCTACTGAGTGGATAAGGTCTCAGAAGTCACCCCAACATACCATTAAGTGGATAAGGTCTCAGGTTCTGGCCTGCTTTTTACCATCATTTTTACCATACAAGCAATTAGGCTTGTTTTCAGCTGAAATGATGATAAAAATGGATTCAGCCATTGATTCTGAATCTACATTTGAGCTCCCACAAATCCAGGATCTAGGATTAGTATCAGTGGGAATGTTTTTTCTGCATTTCCCCTAGTATAGATGCTGCCTCATTGTCACAGTAGAGTAAAACAGAAACCCCCCACCTGATTTAACAATCTAACTTCAGTGAACTTTATTAAAATTTAATCATGAGAAAATAATTTACTTGGAATTTTGTTATTTAGGATTATTGTTATTACAGATCCCTATTCTGAATCTCTGGCACCTGACATGTCAGCACTTCATGGAACTAGGTTGTTTTTCTGAGTCATGTTTTCTGCTGGTGCCTGTCAGTTAACTTTTTTTTTTTAAATATTAAAAATCGTTCCAGATACATTCCTAGAGTTTTCTGTTCTCTATAAAGGGGAATTTTGTTGTACACTGGATCCTTTGAAGAAAACTGCTTACTGTTTTTCTGAAGATTTATACAGATAAAATTATCACTCACTTTTCCCTCAGAGCTGGAGATAGTTTGGGCTTTGTTACTTTTATATATATCAAAAGTAGATTTTTCCAAATGAGCAGAGGAGTGGAGTTGCTGGACACTGGAATAATCAGGCAGGAAGGCATGCACTTCCTAGCAGTTGGTGGCTCAACAACTCAGAGCTTTGAGCTACACGCAATTTTACCTGTCATGCATCCAGGTATGAAATTCAGAGTAGGAGACCTATTACAACTAAACACTATTTCTCAAACCAATATTAATGCAATTTGGAAAATGTTTACCAATCTCTTCCACCAAACTCCAACACTGAACATGACAAATTAATGTTACTTTTTCATGGGACCACTGGTAAACTCAGATTTTGCCAGTGGTATTTAAGATTTTACAGTTTATTCCAAATGATTAACACCTCGTGCTTTTGAACTTTCAAGTAATTTGGGTAAGCAAAACAGATGTAGTTTTCGTTTAAAAACTTCAACTATAAAAATCAATTTTCTTTTAAATGTATTTAGTGAGCAATACTGGCTAGTGCACAGACCAGGAGGAGTGGAGTCAGAACTGCTGGGTTCTATACCCAACCCTATTACCGTCTCATTATATGATCAAATCACTTAACTTCAATGCCTTACTCTGCCAATCTGTAAAATGGGCATAATACTGCCCTTCCTCTCCCCCAAGAGGGATGTGAAATTGCTTTGAGATCCTCAGATATGTGCTATAAAAGTGCAAATGATCACCATATACCAAGGTTGGTTTTGTTTGTTTGTTTCTGTTTCTTTGTTTAAACTTACCCTTGGTCCTCTTCCTTTTATTTTCCTTCCAGATCTGGTCACTAAAAGCCTTCTCTGGTATGACGACTGGGAATTTGATGGATTACTAAAAAATGAAGAGAACTGATGCTGTCTATTACATTGTTTTAAAAATTGTGGAGGAAGAAAGACAGGAAAAGATCATTTAGACAGACTCCACTACTATTTTGGAGTGGTTCTTTTGCAAATTAAAAGAATATCAGCCCAAATGAAAATAAAGAATAATTCTCACTCTCCAGCCAGTTCACATAACTACTAATGGTCATCACTTCACTACTTTAAATATGATCATCCTATTCATAGTATAAAAAAGGCATACAACGTTTAAAAAAATCCTTTTAGGGGCAGATGGGAGAAGAAGTGTTCCCTTACATATTTTTGGAAAAAACTTGGTATAGGAACATCTCAATACATGTACATGCCAAAACCAAGTCACTGCCTCATCATAATATAAGCCTGGCCCTTCCTCATTCCTATCGTTCATCCTTCTGCCTAAATTTGTTCCATCTAAGTTCTTAAGGATAGGAACCTGGTCTCTTTAAATGTTTCTCCGAGGTGTCTAAGCACTCCTTCAGGTGCTGCAAAAAATAAATAATAATTTGCAGTGGAATTACAGCTTGTGAAATGTTCCAGGGACAGCCATAAGGAGTGAATAACTCTGTTTAGCCTCAGGATAGGTATTGTACCATCATGGCTTGTGCTGTACAAGATTGACTACGCTAACTGACCAGTGTGCTCCAACCTTGATCTGGAGAGAGAACTTATAAGGCTGAGATTCATCTGCCTGATCCAATGGAATTCCCCCCCAAAAAATAATATTGAGGACAAGAGCACAGTAAGAGAATCATACACATATATCAAGAACAACAGATACACTTTTTATCTTGTTTAGTACAGGGAATATAAATCTCTGTAAAGTAAACCACTAACTGCATGTGGTCAGGACTACATTTCCTATATGGGCAGTTTATTTCATAACTATCCATTATAATGTTTCTTGCACTTGTCTCAGAAATTTCTGTACTGGCTATAGTCAGCAATAAGATACTAGAAAATATTAACTATTGGTCTGATAAGGTATGGCACAAAGAATCAGTGTCCAATTTAAGGTGGTTCATCAGAAACTGAATTGAGAAACATAATACACCTCTACCTCGATATAACGCTGTCCTCGGGAGCCAAAAAAATCTTACCGCGTTATAGGTGAAACCGCATTATATTGAACTAGCTTTGATCCACCGGAGTGCGCAGGCCTGCCCTCCCGGAGCACTGTTTTACCGCGTTATATCCGAATTTGTGTTATATCAGGTCGCGTTATATCGAGGTAGTGGTGTATTTCATGAGAGCCACTAAACTGTAATATGGTGCTGAATTTCCACTTAATACTAATGAGTCAAGGCGTGTGAGGAAATATCTTTTACTGGACCAACTTCTGGTGGAGTGAGAAGCATGGAGCCATACAGAGCTCTCCTTCAGATCTGGGAAAGGTCTCAAGAACTGTGTGTGGCACAAAAGCTTCTCTCTCTCACTAAGAGAAGTTGGTCCAATAAAAGATATTACCTCACCCACCTTGTCTCTCTAATTTCCTGGGACCAACACGACTACAACTATGCTGCATACAACCCTTGATACTAAAGCAGTGATCTACCCTTGAAGTGAAAGGCTCCATATACTGTTTGTAAGTCCCCAGAGCCAGCCATCTCAAATGGAAACTATATTTGTACGTCAGTGCTCAAATTTTCTCCATTCCTTCTTACATTTATTTTCCTTGTAAAATTCCCTTAAAATGTATCATTGTAATATCCACACTACTCACCCTTACAAACAAGCACATTTTATGAAATCTGAAGTGCCACTGCTCATAACGTGCCAGTGGTTAAACACCACATGGGAAACCTGGACTTCACCTATGAATCTAAAAGTACTGACTTGATCACACCATTGTCAGTGTGCAGTTCCACTCAAACACATGTAAGCTTACCTCTCTCTTTCCTTCTCTCTGCTCTTCCGTTCTTTTTCTTTTTCATCTATTTTAGGAGGACTTTTTCTCATGAGGAACCTGTTTTCTGGTACAGGAGGGATCTCTTCAGGACGGACAGTAGACAATGGCTGTGCTTCAGGGTTTTCATCTTCACTTTCACTGGATGAGCTTTATTTATACACAAACAAAAAGCTATCAATGCTTCAGTTTTAAATATTTGTGTACTTTAGATTTGGGCTTTCTAGGAAAGGCCTCTCAACCTGTCTATACTTAAGTACTTTAGAAGCTTTGTCAACTGAAGATACACATAGAAAAAAAAGAGGTATTATTTACTTGGTCATCAGAGCAATTAAGAAAAGGTCTGAGTTCTGCAGGTTATACTTAATGGTCTTTGTAATAATAATAAAAAAAAAATCTAGCTAAGGCACAAAAATCTGAAAGTTATCAACCCAAGCACTTACAGATATTTGAAAGTATTTACATATATAAAACAAAGGCTAAGGCTTCAAAAACAGCAGCCATTTTGCTCCCATGAGGTCTTCACTCAGAGATGTATATTATGTACGTTTTCCTAACTGACATTATAAAAGATTTTTAACCAATGTTTTTTTAATACATACAGTGCATTGCTGAATATACTTATATTGTATCTTTAGATTAGAACTGGTTGTAAATTTTCTGGGGAGCCTGAGCATCCATGGTTTGCTGCTCTGAGCGCAGCCCTGCCATGCCAGGGCTTCCAGGCTCCCTTCTGTGGAGCTGGGAGCATGGAAGCCCCAGGAGTCCAGTTCCTAGCTCCGCAGCCTCAAGCATGAAAACCCTGAGAACCTTGGTTCATAGCCCTTCCAGGGTCCCTGCCACAGAGACGGGAACCTGGAGGTCCTGGTATGGGCTTCCAGGGTCTGTGACTCTAGGGCAGGCACGCAATGCAGGTTGCCCTGGGCTGGGAACCACTGGGCTTCCAGACTCCTGAGCCAGCTGACTCCATGGGCTGCCTGACTTTGAATGAAATCAGATTTCCAAATACCAAAATTTCTCACAAAGTGAAAGTTTCGGCCAACTCTACTTTAGAAGAAACAGTTTGGAAAATTTATATAAAAAGGATCATGTTCAGATTGTGTGTTTGAATGTAAAACTGCGAGGAATTGTATGATTATTTGTCAGAATCTAAAGGGAGCATGAGAAAGGTGAGTGCGTTTAGATGGTAAGATACATGAAGCTGAGGCTGGTCTGAAGAATAGTACTGCTGTAACAGAGGATTTCCTTGATTCTTAGTGGTTGCGCTGAAAGAAAACACACTTGTACAACAACTTTACCTCTAAGTCAGATTTTTGCATGGGAATACTGTAGTAAACTGGGGGTAACATTTTCAGAAGCAGCCAAGTGACTTAGGAGCCTAAAGTTACATTGCCTTTTAAGGAGACTTTGGTGTGCTTGGGCAAAATTTTCAAAAGCACCAGACAGGTTTAACTTCGGCACCCGATTTTTGAGAAGTTATTACAAGTTACACATCAGTAAATTAAGGTGTTAATATGTTTGAGCTTTAATTTTGTTCATTTTAGACCTGTATTCTCCTCCTCATACATTATAAAAGTCTCACTGTGTATAAATTAATTCAAATTCATGAATATAAAAATGAGTCAAGGCATTAACTTTACAATGTGCAATTTTACAAATCAACACATGAAAATCTCAATCCAAACTACACAAGTGGCTCTTGTTACATAAAGTGGTAATAATGTATAGTACTAAAGCAGGAAAACTGAAGTCGTTTACAAAAACAAAACAAAATAGAATCAAGGATCCTGCAATCCTCACAGACCTAACTGGTGCAAGTTCAAACAGGCATGTACCAAAGAATTGAATTATATATGTGCAAAAATTGAAATGATCTTATTCACAGAAATTTCCTACATCAACACCAAAACAAGAAAGTAGCTAGCTGAAAACATTTATTTTTCCTACACCATATGTACTAACATATATTAAGTTTAACATTTAAATTTTTAACAAAAAGTAATATGGACTGGTTCCAAATGTCTTTTAGAATAGCAAAATAATCCTACCTTTTCTTACTTTTCTTTCTCTTTTTTTTTCCTTCTTATGTTTTCTAGAATTTTTCTTGTGTTTCTTTTTTCTCTTCTTAGGTTTCTCTTCAGAAGCACTTTCAGAATCAGATGATGAATCAGAGGAAGATTTTGAATCACTTGAACTTTCTGAATCACTGGATGAGGAGGAGGACTTGTGTCTTTTTCTCTCTTCTTTCTTGGCTATAAATCAAAGTTACAAAGACATACATTTAGATGTCAAACAGTTCCATTGAAAGTTCAGAATAGACCATTCTATCTAATATCTCCCGAACTTCCTAAATAATTCTGACACAATACTTTATCTTGTAACTAAAGTCATTATGGTAAATACATAATAAAGATTTGGGGGGAAATATTTTTGTCATACAAATAATGGAGAAATTTTAAAAACACATAATAGTCCATTTATTTTAATTACAAAGGAAAATTTCATTACCAACTTTGAACTCTCCGTAACGCATAGCACTTTAATTGTACTAAAATATTACTTCTTTTTAGAAACAATCTTGCATTAAAAGTATAACAGAATGAAAAGTCTTATCAGGAATTTGTTCTCTAATTTCCGGTATTAACGTGATCTCAGACAATCTATTCTATTGAAACCCAATTAAACCAGTTTGACAGCAGCAGCACATGACCTAGGCTTATCCAATGTGTCACTTAGCAGCTAGCTCAGCATGAAATACCACAGATTGGGGAAGACCCAAGAAAAAGATAATTCTTCTTAAGTGAAACTGAGCTCAGAAAATAGAAGTGACCCTGAGCACTCATCATTTTTCTACAAAAATATGCCAAGAAGTATGATGGTGCAAGCCAACTACTAATTGCCTCAGGTTAGGAAGAAGCCTCCACTATGGGTAGGTTTTTCCACAATTATCCACTATAAAATAAAATAAATAATAAGATAAATTAATGGAGAGATCCTATCTCCTAGAACTGGAAGGGACCTTGAAAGGTCATTGAGTCCAGCCCCCTGCCTTCACTAGCAGGACCAAGTACTGATTTTTGCCCCAGATCCTTAA